ACTTACTGTGTTTTAACATTTTCATCCTAACACAGCTGTACTATCTACTAGATATACCAGGATTTTACAGATCGAGAAACTGAGGCTCAGGAGATAAAGTAACTCACCCAAGGTCTCAGATGTAGGCTAGAGTCAAGCTCACCTCCTCAGAATCCTTCCTCTTAACTACTATGTTTCTGTGTTTCTGCAAGGACAATGTTCTTGTGGCTATTAAGAATAAAAATCCAGGGGTGCTTCGGTGGCTCAGTTGGTTAAGCATTTGCCTTCAGCTCAGGTCATGATCCCAGGGTACTGGGATCGAACCCCGCATCGGGCTCCCTATTCTTTTTTTTTTTTTTTAAAGATTTTATTTATTTATTCATGAAAGACAGAGAGAGAGAGAGAGAGAGAGAGAGAGGCAGAGGGAGAAGCAGGCTCCCAAGGAGCAGGGAGCCCGACGCGGGACTCGATCCCAGAACCCTGGGATCATGACCTGAGCCGAAGGCAGACGCTTAACCATCTGAGCCACCCAGGCGCCCCGGGGCTCCCTATTCTGTGGGGGGCCAGCTTCTCCTCTCCCTCTGCCGCTCCCCCTGCTTGTGCTTGCGTGCTCTCTCTCTCTGTCAAATAAATAACTAAACTAAAATATTAAAAAAAAAAGAATAAAAATCCATTTAAGGATTTTAAGCAGAGGTTGACATGATTAGCTTTGCCTTTTTAAGAGCTTATTCTCATTACAGAGTGAATATATAATGGAGGAGGTGCCAACTTCCTATAAGTAAACTATTGTTGTATTCCCAGCAAGACAAGGTAGGACTTAGATTATGGTGATGGTGGTGGATACACGAAAAAAAAAATGTATTGATAGATGTTTGAAAATAATACTGACAAGTAAAGTGGACATAATGATCATAATTTAAGTGTGAGGCTTGGCACATTCATTCTGGCTGATTAGATAATTATAAAGACTGGCAAACCTTCCGTCATTTACAATTTCACTCTTTCATTCAATGATCTTGGCATTCATTCATGAAGGTAGGTATCAAATCTGAGTATCCTGAACTCTTTCATAGCTTTCTTTCTGTTATTGCATACGTGACATTTTTGTTAAGTTCCTTATTGGAAATTTAGCTGCAGATTAAGTGCTGAGATCAAAAGATATCAAGATATTTGGAAAAAAACACACATTATGTTTTATTTGTCAAAACACATGCTTAGGAGCCGAAAATGCCTTGTGACCATCCTGAACAGGTATAAGGAGCATGTTCAAGAAGAAGTCAGTACTGACAGGGTTCCCTGGCAAAGGGAAGCAGTCAAGAAGTATGACCATTGTTTCCAAATGCACTATTTTTTCATATTTTACTCTGAAATTGAGACAAACATATTAAGTAGATCCAATGGTAGCAATATGGTCCTACGGGTCATTTAGATGTGTTTTTTGCTAAAAGACAAATGGATTTGATTAAAATAATTTATAACCAAATGTTACCACTTAAAATGGTGCTGCATACTTTTATAGGAAGACTTTTCTGTGGATAACTCTTCTGATTATTAGAGAATGGAAGTCTCCAATATTTTGCATTATTCTTAAATGATATAAATATTGCTGGTGAAAGTCTCAGTCACATCATCTGGTGCAAGAAAGGTAACTGAATCATTTTCTACTGAGTGTCCTGATGTCTCCAGGGAGCAAAGACTTTATCTAAGACACCTGAGGGTCATGTCAACCCCTTTTCCCCTGAGATTGTACTGAGGTGCTAGGTTACTTACAAGGACTCAAGGCTGTGTGGGGTGCAGAGGCTGAGGCAGGCCTGATGACTCTTCTTGGCACTATTATCGCTCCAACCTGACATCTGCTGACACTTCCCTCTACCCAGGTCACTGTCTTTGGGCTATGCATTTGTCATCTCTGGTGCAGACATATTCTTTCATGGGCATGGAATGTACTCCTAAATACAGTCCACCATGACATAAACTATCTATAGCTCTAAAGCCTGGTAGGAAGGGGATAGAAATTGACAACTTACTACAAACCAGGCAACTCAGAGATGTGCCCTGCTGGTCCCATGTCGAGAAGATATGCAAGCACAGAGATGGCTAAGTCCAAGGCCATGGGCAGGAGTGATCCTTTGTATTTACTGTTTGCAAAACTCAGGTAAATATAATAAAGTGGTTTAAACATTTTAGTAGGGAACAGGTCAGAGTAAAACAAGGAGGTAAAAGGAAAAATAATGGAGGAAAATTCAGGAAGAATGAATATTTATATCAGAGCCTTGGTTATATTTGCATTTGAGGGTTGCCAGTTGTAGCTTGAGAAAAAGGGGCAGGGATGTTTTCTGGCCATTTGTGTTTATCCCCAAATTTAGGTTTCTGTAGCGTAAGCATAAAAGTCAGCCACATGGAGAGCCAGGTGCTCATGCTTCCCTGGCTTCCGCTCTTTGCATGCATTGCCTCACAACTTCATATCGTAGTATGGAAATTGTTAAAAGAAGAAGAAAAAAAAAAGACAGAAGCCTAAACCATTTCTATTCAATAGTGAGAATAAATGCGTCTGCAACGTAAACAGCTTACCAGGAACAGCACTTTGAGTTTATAGTTCTGGGATTTTGCTGAGCTGAAAAAGCATTCCTTTCACTTGGTCTTCAAAACTGTTCAACATTCACATTTTATTAGCAAGTAAGCATGAACAAAACAGGTTCTGATAAACACAAAAGCTGTTTTTGTCTCATTATATTGGATGACAAGTGAGACCTTACAGCTTCACGTCAGATCAGTGGAAAAACAATTATCTGTAGAAAGTATGTGCAAACATTTCTCCTGCAAAGCTAAAGATTCAAGGCGACGTGTCTGGAATGTGTTTCTCCCTTTAGGCTGCCTCCATTCCATGAAACATCTGTCTCAATTTCTGCTCTTCCTGGAGCCTCCTTTTGGCCTCTGCAGGTCTATTCCTTCTAAATCTGCTTCATTCTGATCCTGCAGATGGAAACCGTATGTCTCCCTGTTTAAGGAAGTGTGCCCAATCTTTTCAAGTGGAGATTTTTGACCAAGTTTTACAAAATCTTCATGTATGGCTTTCTAATTCACCAAATACAGTATGAGTTGCTTTTGGTTTGATTTCATGCTTTAAGTGATTCTTATGAGTAATTCTTATTAAATCTCTAAAATTAAATATAAAGCTGTGAATTAGATATATTTTGGACAAGCAGTTTTAAAATTGATTTAATAAGTACTTGTTGATCCCCTATTATGCCATAACCTTGAAGTACAAAGATAAAACATGTAACATAGAGTGGCCCATCTAGTGGGCAGAAAACTGATGGAGTCATTAAAATACAGTGTAGGACGGGCGAAAATGGGGAGACTCGACAGAAACATAGAGACACAATTCAAAAGTGTAAACTGACAAAAGAGTTTATCTTTTAAAAGGATAATTTTCATTTGTCAAGCAACGTATTCAAATTTACTTAAAAATGATATTAAATAATAAATGCATCTTAAAATATTGTGATCATCTAAAACATCTCTCCAAAATACTCAGAAAATGTCTGGCCTAGTTAGGTACTTATTTTACACATAAAATTAATACTGTGCATGTCATTTTGACATTAAGTAAATTAGAAGGTAATTTGTGTGGGGTTTTTTGCCTTTTTAATAAATGCAAATGAAGTGTGGGAAGGATCAAGCAGCCCTATCAGGGTGGTAAAAGGAGAAACTGGGATTTCTGGGGATGTCATGAAGAAAGTATGCCCCCAAAAGTTGGTGCTGCATGTTGCCAACAAACGGTCTTGAGCAGATGTCCTGCCTAAGGTGACAAGGTTGTCAGGGAGGTAGACATTTATTAAATAATACAGAGGAAGAGACATTGAGGCATGGGAAGGGATTTGAGAGTAAGGAGTTATTCCAAATGCAAACAGTGTTCTTAAGAGCAGTTACTCATTACCTAAAATATGCAAGAAGAGAAAACCAAATATAATCTAAGATACAATCCCTGAAAAAATATTTGAGCATTTTTTTCAATTTTAATAAGTTCCCTCTATTGTCAAAGCTCTCAAAAAGGTCAATTTAACAAGCCCAAATATTGTTGGTAATACTTGTTACTCAAAATAATATTGAAAGTATATGAGAAATGGCACATCATAATCAAATCATATAGTTTTTCTATCTCCATGTATATTTTTCTTTTGGTAGAAAGGATGCTTTACAGTAAAACAATTGGAAGAAGTGTAAATTGTAAAAAACAAAAACAAAAACAAAACCCACAAAACAAAAAACACACACAAACAAACAAACCCAGAATATTTGAGTCTAGGAAACAAAGGATTAAAAGGGTGCCCGGGTGGCTCAGTCGGTTAAGCCACTGCCTTCAGCTCAGGTCATGATCCTGGAGTCCCGGGATCGAGTCCTGCATCAGGCTCCCTGCTCGGCAGGGAGTCTGCTTCTCCCTCTGACCCTCCCCTCTCTCATGTTCTCTCTCTCTATCTCATTCTCTCTCTCAAATAAATAAATAAATCTTTTAAAAAAATAAAATAAAAGGACTCAAAGGAACATTAACCTTAATTTCTTAATGGTTGTTATCTTCAAAGGGAATTGTATCAGAGCTTCAAAGTAAAGGGACTTTGGGATTTTATTCTGCACGCTGCTGGGTTAATTTGAATCTTCCACAACAATAATGCGTTCTTGCAAAGCTATGTATTTAGAAAACAATAAATGAGGTTTTTTAAAAAAATGAATAAACATGTAAGAATGTTTGAAAAAGCAAGATGACCAAAAAAAACAAAAAAACAAAAAAACATGGGCACTGGAAATTATTACTAAGATTTGAGAAGCAAAATGAATTATAACCAGCAATAACAGTAACGAACCACATGTGCTCAGCTGACCAGGCAGGCGGGCCCTGCAGTGTTGCACTTCAGAACACCAGCGACCTCTTGTGGCAAAAATTGATATTTTAAAAATTTGTGTCCCTGTCTCATAGGATGGGTGATTAAGAAGGTTGCCTGATGAATTTGTTTCTTTTTCAGATTGAAATAGCCACAGTGATGCCTTCTGGGAACAGAGAGCTCCTTACCCCACCCCCACCGCCAGAGGAAGCTGAAGAAGAGGAGGAGGAGGAGTCCACCCCCAGACTGATCGATGGCTCTTCTCCACAGGAGCCTGAATTCACCGGGGTTCTGGGCCCACACACCAACGAAGGTCAGGTCCATCAAGGCTGATTTGGATTAAGTCCACTTGGTCCTACCTCAATGCCACAGGCAACCCGCATGACCCACAGAGAGAGTTTTGTCATAGGATCTTTGAAGCAGAAGATATACATGTATATTGTCTTCAAATATAAAGCAGTTTTAATAATTCAGCTTTGGCGTGATGGAAATTATCAAATAACCAAAGATTTGGGACAAAAATATTTATCTAGCATCATTACTCCAAACCTTGGTGGTGGAATGCATTTCTAGAACAAAGAATCCACTACGCTGTTAGGAAGATGAGAATCTATGTCTCACAGAGCTGGCCACAGCAGTTCAGGGTGGTAAGAAAATGATGGCTGATTTTGATGACGGCAAGAGTAGTAATATTTTACACTGACTGGGCACAGACTATCTGTGGGTCACAACGCCCACCTCACATTCTCTCATTCGACTACAACAACCTCCGTGTAAAGGTCTTAGGTCTTTCTTACTGAGGAAACCAGCTCAAAAATGGTAAGAACTTGTCAGAGATCCCATAGCTGTTAGTTTCTCACACGGGGTTTAAAGCGAGCCTGTTCTGATTCTTGTCTGTGTATTTATTGGAACATAGGCTTCTTCTCATTCAGTCCTCAGGAGCAGCCGAGTGGAAGGCATTCCATAACACTGGACTCCATCTTGTACAGCCTGATGGTGATCTAAACCAGAGCCTTTTAGTTAATGAGAAAGAGTTCCTGATGCTAAATATGATCTGTCTATAGTTCTTTCTAAAATTTGTCAGTGTCATCCTTGAGGGTACTCAGATGGACTCACACCAGAAGGCTTTCCCACACAGAGAATGGCATAACAAGGGGGTGTAGAAAAATGAGTAGAATTCCTATTGCAAAGGTTTATGAGTACAGAGTTGAAGTGTGTTTGTACTCTAAGCTCTGGAGATAAAAACTTATCTCAAAATGATTACTGTTCTCAGGAACTTTTTTATCTAGTACAGGGAAACAGACATGCAAACAAATGTAGAGGAACAATAATATGTTCCAGATAGTATGACAAAACTCTGTACAGAACATACTGAGAGAACAAAAGGGAGGGCATTCAAATGCCAGCTTTGGGACTTGCTGGATACACAATATGGAGCAAGGCATTCGGTGTTTTTTGCCTTAGTTTCCTCGTCTAAAATATGGGATAATAAATAATAGATCTTACTTCACAGAATTGTTGTAAGGATTAAATGAATGAATTTAGTGCCTGACCCATAGTAAACATAATAAATGTTAGTTATTCTCATGACTCTATTATTGATAAAAGAGTTTATTTTTTTACTCTCAACAAATGTTTCAGTGTACACTACAGTTTTGTTAACTCTCAGCATTATGTTGTACAGCAGACCTCCAGAACTTAATCGTTTTGCATAACTGAAACTTTACAGCTGTTGACCAGCCACTCCCCATCACTCCCCACCCAGCCCCTGGTAACCATCAATCTACTCTCTGCATCTACCAGTTTTTAACTGTACCAGTAAGTTATGTAAAGAGTTGTCTTTTGTAAAACGCTGTGTATATGCCAACCACTAAAGTGTTTTATGTATATGAACTCTTTGAAGAGTCAGAATGATACTATGTACTAGGTATTGTTATTTCCACTTTACAAAAAGGAAAACTAAAGCCCCAACATAGTGTAAAAGTTGTCCAAGATCATGGAGGTGGTACATAGCAGTGCTGAAATGCGAATAGAGACCACTAAACCCTAAGCCAGTATCTCTAATGGATACATTATATTCTTTCCACATAGTTAACATTCTATGGAGTAGAACACTCTCCAGATAAAACCAAGGAGATGCACATACAATAGAAGCAAACCTAAGTGCCCAGAAGAAAGTTTCCAGTAGGGAAAGAAAATATATCTAGAACATGATTAACTTTTAAATAATTTCAGATCCGTCAAAATTTGACTAATCTGGCATCATTACCTATACTCAGGTCTATTAGCCAAGCCAAGGCACAACAGAAAAACATAATGCCCAATCTTTTCAAAAGCTTTAGTCAAAATTATAGCTCAAGAATGTCAGCTTTGAAACCATATAAAAAATCTACGACTTTAGGAAAAAAAAGTTATCTCCAAAGTAGTCTGAGGGTGAGTAATGAAGTTAAAACTTTAATTAACATTTTCATTTCCACAGATGAAGCATTGCCAGAAATTCTAAACTTTTAAATTAAATTTAAATCATTTTTTTTAAAGATTTTCTTTATTCCCTTGAGAGAGAGAGTGAGCAAGCAAGAGAGAGAGAGCATGAGCAGGAGGAGAGGGAGAAGCAGACTCCCCACTGAGCAGGGAGCCAGATGTGGGGCTCAATCCCAGGAACCTGAGCCAAAGGCAGATGCTTAACTGACTGAGCCACCCAGACACCCCCAAATTTAAATCTTATATATTCATCAAAGTTAAATAGCTTGGAAAGAAATATTTAGAGCATTAGTAATAAAAATATATATTTTTTACTATTAATACAAATTTCTAAAAACAACATTTTGAAGCCATATAAAGTAGACTTGGGTTATGAGTGGAAAAAAGAGAATTAAATTATAACTCTTGTGAATATATATATATATATAAATTACCCTAAGTATTATTGCTAAATTAGCAAAGCCATGAATATATAGAAGACTCAAATGCCTTACTTTTTAAAAATTTTATAAGTGGCAAATATTAATTTATAATGATTTGAAAAATTGGCAAGTGTTAAATATTTTATAGCTTCCCCTTAAATTGTCTTTCCTAGATTTCCAGTCATAATATAGTTTTCATTTCTGAAGCTATTATTGTAAATAACTTTCCTACTTAATGATAGCAAGAAGACCTTAGTAGGTGCATTACTAGTTCTTGATCACAGACTACAAATGGATCCTTCAACTCAGGCAACCGAGTGTCCTGGTTTGCCTGGGAGTGAGGGGTCCCACCGTGGGGGATTTTCAAGGCTAAACCCAGGAAAGTCCCAGCGAAACTGGGATGAACTGAACACTGAGCAATCGCAAGAAAGTCCTCCCATCACTTCCATCTAGTTTCCTTCATGGCTCTTTCGCATCCTCTGTTCACCTCACACCTTACCAACCTTCTCCTCCTCCCTTGACTCCTCAAGCTCATCAGAGAGCTGAGCCCCCTACTCCACAGAGAAATCTTCTGGTCAGCAGCTTTTCAGTCTTTCTGTTTTCAGATGTAATTTTTACCTACACTGACATGCATGTGCCTTACCCCCCCCCCCCCCATTACAACAAACTGTCCTCTCACGTGGAGGATGTGATCCTTCCCGCTATGCTTCTGGTCCCATTTCCTACTGCCTTCTCAGGATCCTTTTGATATTCAACTTCTCCTACTTTGGATCTTTTTCTTCAAATTTTGCCCGCTTCAGTCCATTTACACACCACAAATGTAACTGCTTATACCTATCACCGCTTCTCTCTCCTCCTTCACAAACATCTCAATAGCATTGTCTGTATTTGCTGTAACTATCTCTGCACCCCAATTCCCTCCTCAACTGGCTGTTAATCTGGCTTCCAGCCCCATCACTCCACAGCTCTTACTGAAGTAGCCTATAACCACCACAAGGAGTAATCCAAGAGATATTTTCAGTCCTTAACCTACCTGACATCTCAGCAGCCTTAGAATGTTTTCTATTCCCTTTGCCGTCAAACTCTCTCTCTCTCCATCTGGCCTCCATAACATCTCCCCATTCTCTTTTCTTCCTTTCCTTCTGGTCATTGCTTTTCTATCTTCCTTAGAAGCTCACTGTCCTCTACAGGACCACTAAACAGAGCGTGAAGGAGGTGTATATATATGTGCGCGTGCATGCGATAGAGACAGACCAATATGTTGAGATATAATCCAGCCTCACAAATACCTTTTGGATCTGTTGCCTTTTATTCGACATGTCACCATGACCCCAGCCAAGCAACCATCATCTTTTATCTAGATGACAACTCATTCTCCACTCTGTCCACTTGCCCTCCCTCCGTCTTCTACCACACCTTCAAGCAGAATGATTTCTTAATATGCAAATCTCATCATGCAATACCCTGCCCACCCTTAGGATAAGGAACAAAACCTGCAATAACACAGACGATAGGGCCTCTGTATGGTATGTCCCATACATTTCAGTGCTCTCTGTGCTACAGCCGCATGGACCATCTTTCAGTCCCTCCAAAGTGAAGGGCCTTGGCACATGCCGCTTCCTCTGCCCGTGTACTCCTCACTCCCCCCTGCATGGTCAACTCCTTCTGTTCTTGCAGATCTCAACTCAGTTATCACCCTCTCAGAGAACCATGACTGTCAGACTGAGTCAAATTCCCCTATTTTATGCTCATATATATCATGACATTTTGCACAGTCATCATTTTATTTGTGCAAGTCACATTTATCTTACATAGAAGATCATAAAATAGAATTGTGTCTCTTTGTGCTCCTCACTGTTTCACCAGCTAGCACAGTGTCATTTACCTAGAAAGGATTCAGTAATTACATACTGAGTGAATTCATATTAATGATTATTACCCTATCTTTTTCTTGAAGCAGATTGTTTTGGTGGGGTGTTTAAATATTGAACCAAAGACCTAATAAAAATATTATGTGTGATGCGATTTATAAAGCCACAGTCTTAATATTTACATTTGAAAAGAATTTCTAATAAGTATAAAAGCAACCACCACACTGTATCCACTCGGTAATTTAAAATAAAATTTAAAACAGTACAAAGAATGTACTAATTATTGCGGCTGCTTTAATTGGTACGTTTGACTTTAATTTCGATTTACAGAAAACTATATGAGAAAATATGAAATATGCCAGGAAGGCCTGTATGAGACTGTAAACTTATTTAACAAATATCTAATCACATTATTTCTTAGAAATTGCTTTTGTTACTTACATATAATTATTTGCCTCTACCTTTTAGACTTTCCAACCTGCCTTCTGTGTACGTGTATAAGTACCACTGTATACTGTGATGACCATGAACTTGATGCTATTCCTGCACTACCCAAGAACACTGCTTATTTCTATTCCCGCTTCAACAGAATTAAAAAGATCCACAAAAATGATTTTGCAAGCCTAAGTATGGATGACAGCACTAATATCTTTGTCTTCTTTACAGACTTTCCTAAAATTGTTGTACTATAAAATGAAACTTGAATATGAAAATGTGGCTCATAAATCAACTATTCTTTCTTATTGAAATATTTGAAGGTTTACTTTAATTATGTGAAAAAATGATTTAGTGTTAAAGGTCATTATGAAACTATATAGTTGATATTTTCACATACTATATTTTCAAGAAATAGAATCATAAATATGTATATTTTATAGACTAGAACTCATTATCATGTCATGACATTGAGTAAAAGTCATGGTCCTATATTTACGAGGATTTGAGTTGTTTGAATAGGCTTCCATTAAAGCGCAATTGCTTTATGATTGATGCATACAAGCCTATATTTTGACTTTATAATGGTTGCCAACTTAGAAGAATTTTGGTACTTGTCTTTATAAAGTGTTTTAATCATTTGAAGATTTCTTTTTAATGTCTTTGTGTTTTAATGCTAATGTATCTGTAACTATTAGAAAATATAGCAACCTGTCATCACTGAGGAAAACCTTTTAAATAGTAAAATCTAGACAAAGTTTATGAAGAATGTAGGGAAAAGACCAGTTATTTTAAATATAATGTGTCAATACCTTTGTTAAAGTTATGCTTTCTTACAAGTACATAAATATGTATAGTATTAGGTGGAAACAATTAAATTTTTATATAGAGTAGTTAGAAATAATTATTTCATTAATTGCCTATTGCTAATTCACTTCATATTTATATTTACTTTTACGTGGGAAAATTTATCTTCACATTTTTATGTGAGCAAAACATATTCAAGAGTATTTAACTATTTCCTTCATTTTTCCTTCTAGATGATTTAAGAAGGATCGATCTGACATCAAATCTAATATCTGAGATTGATGAGGATGCATTCAGAAAGCTGCCTCACCTCCGGGAGCTTGTCCTGCGTGACAATAAAATAAGGCAGCTTCCCGAACTGCCAAATACTTTGACATTTATCGATATCAGCAACAATAGGCTGGGAAAGAAAGGAATAAAGCAAGAAGCATTTAAAGTGAGTTTTAAGTTTGGATATGGAAGACTCTCATCCTTCTGCCCCATTTACCGTCAATGACGAGCATTTTTGTTTCCATAAGGAGATTCAATTTGATGAGATTTTTACCTCCTAAAGTAAACCATACAATACTAATGTATCAAGCTTTTGGGAAATATTGCATTTTGGTAAGTTCTGAGGCTGGTCGAACAACAAGAACAGAGTGCAGAGCTGGCGTAAGGAGTGAGGGGCTCCCTGGAGTGCAAGTCTCTAAGGAGCACCTGGAAATGGTGTCAGCCAGACAACCTGCATTTTCCAAGAACTCCACTCAAGGCGAATATTCTATGTGGCTTAAAGGATGACAACTTGTGCAGGGTGTGGGTGGTGCCTTGAGGTAGAAGTCTTTTAAATTACCTTGTAAAAAGAATGGATTTGATTAATCTTAGAAATTTTGTTTTCTAAGTGAAGAAAGCAAGTTTGGGGCTAGACGGTCTTGCTTAGAGTAACAGCATAGAGTATGAGAACACTCACCAACCAGTTTTCTTACCCACTCTTAACTGTATTCAAGCTGCTTTTCTAAATGTCTGTTAAACAAACACATTTAAAATCCTGTTTGAAGGGACACAGGGAAAGTGCAGGGGGCTGTGTGGACCAATCAGCACGGAGCAATGGCAGAAGGCCTATTTCTCCACCAGCTCTCCTGTAACCCTGGTAGGCGAGGGAGCTAGGACACCTCATTGTAGCCTGCCAAGGGTCAAAGTTCAGTCTCCCCATTCAGCTTTTGTTGGCATGGGTGGTGATGAGTCACGGTTTGTTCTATGGTGGTCAGCTAGAGTAGACCTGTTATTGTCTAAATGTTTTTTTTTTTTTTTTTGGTCTTGCTAGGCTGCCCTTTTCCTGGTACTTGTACTAGAGAGAACAGGATTTTGTTGGAGAGAAATTCTTTTTTCTCCATCCCTGTAACACGAAGGCCATTCTTCCTCTGCCTTACCCAAATCCTCCAAATCCTATGCAGAATGTCTTCTATGTGAAGACACTGCCTTGCTTAAACAGAAAAAGTTAAGAGTGGGCAAAGCAAGGTTCTTTGTAGAGATTGAGAAGCACTTTACATTTTCATCAAGAAATATTCACTTACAGTTAATTTTTCCAAAACTCATTTGAATTGTCTAGTGACCTGGAGAACCAATCTCCTTCATCTTTGCAAAACGAGACCTTGACAGGCATGTGTCATTTTACAAATAGTTGCATGAACAGGGAATGGAAAATACAATTGTGGTGCCGCTAATTTCCACTAATTCTCTACATTTGGAATGTTTACAGGATATGTATGATCTCCATCACCTCTACCTCACGGATAACAATTTGGACCACATCCCTCTGCCACTCCCAGAAAATCTACGGGCCCTTCACCTTCAGGTAGGCTTCCACCAGTAAGGTATGCCCAACAGCTCCATGGAAAACAAAAGCAAAGAGGAGGAAGTCAGGACACTAAAACTGTTTATAAATGACTTGTTGACATACTGTCACCATTTTTCTTCTTTTTCTCCTCTCATTCACTCTCTCGATCAGAGCGCAAGGTTTTTGTACATTCATGCCTGCCTATACTGATTTATTGATGATGACCTTAGTCTTTAAAGATTTTCAGTCTTTGTCAAATCATAATGCATCTTTCTGGCACCCAAAATTACTTTTGGAAAAAAAAACTGAAAACTTTATCTGCTGAAGAAACGTGTAAGACTTAGAAATGGAAAAGAAAAATGGGAGAAAGAAAAATCTAAATTAATTTCTAGCTTTCAAGAGAGGAAAAAAAATGTCAATTTTAGCTTTTAATTTTAGGTTTTATGTATTGAATTAAATTCAATCCTAGGGCATTCCTATCTGCTGAGAGATGACAGACTTCCATCACTCTGGATTAAGAAAATGTGTTTCCAATGTGTTTTCTAATTCTGAATTAAATTTTATTACTATTGTCTGTGATAATATTGACCCTACAAAGTAACTGCGTCTCTGATGTTGTATTCAAACACAGTGGGCTTATGTATGCAATACAATATTTAAAAAAAAGTACTTGGCTTCATATTCCTTATTCTAAGGTTTAAAAGGCATTAAGTGCACCCTTTAAAAATCTCCCTTCTCATGACTACCTCACCAATATCCAGTATATAGCTGTTTTTAATTTACATTGTCTTCACTTTATATTTTTAATACTTATATAAAAATCCCCAATATTGATTCCTTTCAAAATTTTTGCCAAAATATAGTATAGTAATTAAGAATGAAGGCTCTGGCAAAAGCAGATTCTCTGGACTGAAATTCTATTTCTAATACTATCTAAAGATTGGAAAAAATATCTGAGCCTCCCCGCACCACAGTTTTAGATTATGAAGTGAATAGTACACTTACTGGAACATGATAAGTACTTACATGTAAGGCACAGTTATTATTAACAGCAGGTACCTATTACCTATCAAAGGGAGTAGTACAGCACCTAGGCACTAACCTTTTATTCCTCGTGGACACTTTGTAATGAGGAGAGGGTCAAGCCATCAGAAAGATATAAGGATTATAAACATATATGCACCTAATCATATATAATTATACACCCATATTATTGTTATTAATCATTATTACATTATTATAATGATTATAAACAATATGTCTCAAAATGTGTGAAGCATAAACTGTCAGAATTGAAAGGAAAAATAGACAATTCAACAATAAGTTGGATCTTCAATACTCCATTTTCAATAATAGAACAACCAGTCATAAGATCAACTAGGAAATAGTTCAAGAACACCTTAACAACATCTTAAAAATCAACTACACTTAACAGTCATCTACACAGCATTCCACCCAACAACAGCAAAATATACATGGTTCTCAAGGGTTCAATGAACATTTTCCAGGATAGGTCATATACTAGGCCACAAAACTAGCCACAAAAAACTGAAAAGAACTGAAATCATGCAAAGTACTTTTCTGATTACAATGGAACTAAAATACAAATCAACAACAAAGAAAATTTGGAAAATTCACAAATATAAGGATATTAAACAACACTTTCCCTAATAAGCAATGAGTCAAAGAAGAAATCTAAAAAATCATTTAAGCAATGCCATAGATAAAAAATCGATATACAAATATTAATTGTATATGTATACACTAGAAATGAACAATCTGAAAATGAAATTAAGAAAACAATTCTATTTATACTAATCACAAAATAATAAATCACCTAAGAAAAATTTTAATCAAAAAAGTACAAGATTTGTAGACTGAACACTACATTTTTGAAAGCTTTCTGCACAGCAAAGGAAACAGTCAACAGAGAGAAGAGATAACCTATAAATGGGAGAAGATATCTACAAACCATACATTTGATAAAGGGTTAATATCAGAAATATGTACAAAACTCAAATAACTCAATAAAAAATCAATTAAAATATTGGCAAAGGACCTAAGTAGACATTTCTTAAAAGAAAGCATACAAATAGCCAACAGGTATATGAAAGGATGCTCAACATCATTAATCATAAGGGAAATGCAAATCAAAACCACAATGAGATGTCACCTCACTGAATAGCTATTATCAAAAAGATCAAAGATAACAAGGTTGACAAGGTTGTGAAAAAAAAAGGGAACCCTTGCATACTATTGGTGGGAATGTAAGGGGTACAGTTTATAGGAAATGGTATGGAGGTTCTTCAAAACATTTAACAGAACCACCATATGATTGAGCAATCCCACTTCTGAGTATATATCCAAGGGAAATGAAATCGGTATCTCAAAGAGACATCTGCACTCTCATGTTCACTGCAGCATTATTCACAATTGCCAAGATATGGAAGCAATTTATGTGTCTATTAAGGGTGAATTTACCTTACCATTTCCTATAATGACTGTACCCCTTACATTCCCACCAGTAGTACACAAGGATTCCCTTTTTTTCCACAACCTTGTCAACCTTGTTATCTTTGGTCTTTTTGATAATAGCTATTCAGTGAGGTAGCATCTCATGTATACAATGGGATATTATTCATTCTTTAAAAAAGAAAAAAAATTTTAAAAAGAGAAAATTCTGCTATTTGCAACAACATGGGTGAGAATATTATGCTAAGTGAAATAAGCCAGACACAGACGGACACATACTGTAAGATCTCACTTATATGTGGAATCTAAAAAGTCAAACTCAAAGAAGCAGAGAGTAGAATGGTGCCAGGACTCGGGGACTGGGGGATATGGGAACATGTTGGTCAAAGAATATAAAGTTTTAGTTATTCAGAATGAGTAAGTTCTGGAGATAAAATGTAATACAGCATGGAGACCATAGTTAAGAATATCCTATTGTGTACTTGAAATTTGTTGAGAGTAGATCTTAAGTGTTCTTACCAGAAACAAAAAAAGGTAACCGTGGGAGGTGATGGAAATGTTAATTAGCTTGATTGTGGTAATCATTTCACAATGTAAACATATATCATAACATTATTCTGTTCTCCTTAAACATATATAATTTTATCTGGGGAGAAACAGATACTCTGGTTTCTCTTCAAAACACATAAATATTTTGCCTTTTACTAAATAAGGGAAAGATAGTCCATATTCATGGTTTGGAAGATTTAATAATAAGAAGGAAATACTCCCCAAATTGATCTATAGATCTTTTATATAGAAAGTCACAAGTAATCCACTAAACCATTTGAATTAATAAATGAGTTCAGCAATGTGGCAGGTTATAAAATCAATATAAAATATCAATTGTATTCAATACACTAGCCATGAATTAAACCACAATGAGATACCACTTCACATCCACTTGGTTGGCTAAAATAAGAGACAGATAATTACAAGTGTTGATTAGGATGCAGAGAAAATTGGAACACATACATTGCTGGTAGGAATCGAAAATGGTGCAGCTACTTTGGAAAAGTTTGACACTTCCTTGAAATATTAAACACAGAGTTACTATAAACCCACAATTCAACTCCCAGGTATATACCCAGGAGATCTGAAAACATATGTAAACACAAAACTTGTTTGCAAATGTTCATAGAAGCATTATTCATAAGGGTCAAAAGTAGAAAAAAAATCCAAATTTCTATTAACTGATGAAAGGATAAAAATGTGGTATATCCACACAATGGAATATTATCAGACAATAAAACACAAGGAAGTACTGATACATGGTACAAAATATATAAACCTTGAAAATGCAATTCTAAGTAAAAGAACCCAGTCACAGAAGATGATCTATGATTCTATTTACATAAAATATCTAAAATAGGAAAATCCATAAAAACAGAAAGTAAATTAGAAGTCACCATGGGCTAAAGATAGGGGAAAATGGAGGCGGGGGGAGGTAATTGCTAATATCTACAGGGTTTAACATGTTCTAAAATTAAATTATGGTGAAAAATATTAATTAAAAAATTAAAAAATGAAATTAAACTATGGTAATGGTTGTACAACTCTGTGACTATCTTAAAAACCACTGAACCATATACTTAAAATGAAAGAATTTTATGGTATGTGAAATATACTCAGTAAAACTATTTTTAAATATCTATATTTCTGGGTCCTGCTTATCTTCCTGATAGTTTCTCACTTTCTCCCTCACTCTACTCCAGCCATGTTGACTCTTTTCCCATTCTTGAACATTCCAAGGTAATTACTCAGACTGAACGTGGTCTTCTCTCTCCCTGCAATGTCACTACCTTGGCTCTTTCCATGCCCGTGTGTTGTTATTCCATTCTCAGCTCCATTGCTCTCTCTTTAAGACAACTTTCCACAGTTACCACTCTTCCTTTGCAGTACCCATCAGTTTTAGAAATAGTTTTTTCTTTACATTTGTTTTCTCACCTCCGTATCTTACATTTCTACTACTGAAGTGTGAGCTGCTTTAGGGCAAGGCTGTACCTACTTTGTGCTTCAGTGATTTAACCCCCATAGCCCAGAAAGTGCCCCAGGTATAATGATCCCATAACATGCATCTTTGGATAAGAGAAGGAACAAAAGAATTAAAATGGGGGTGAAGCAAAATGGACTGTGTTATTAATCAATAATAAGTATATATTATATTTTGCCTTATCATTTATTGTCCATCTCTTCTAGAATAACAACATTTTGGAGATGCATGAAGATACTTTCTGCAATGTTAAAAATTTGACTTATATTCGTAAGGCGCTAGAGGACATTCGATTGGATGGAAACCCTATCAATCTCAGCAAAACTCCTCAAGCGTACATGTGCCTACCTCGTTTGCCTATTGGAAGTCTTGTCTAATTTGAGATAATGGTTAGCATTATGATGCCCACTATAACGGAACAATTCTTACTCCTCTCTTTAAAAACAGAAACTCAGCATGATACCTTCAAATTGTGTTCTAAAAAATGATATACACCTAAAAGTTTTAAGATATGATGACAATTTAGCAAGTTAAGCAGACACCAGGTGAGTCAGGAATAAAACCAAATGGTGTAAAGAGCAAAACTAAATGGTAACAAATATTTCATAGATACTCTTATAAATCACATGTAACTTGCAAGTTTTAAGGATTTATATCCCATATCATTTCAAGTTAAGTCTAATAAAGAAAAATACAAAATGAACACTTTAGGTGTATTGCCAAGATTTGGATGTTTTTAAACTTTTCTATTCTTTTTTTTTTTTTACTAAGGCATGTTTCTGTTTCCAAATTTATTAATGAGAATGAAGGAGAGAATAAAAGAATTTTAGATTTATAATGGCCTTGTGGGAAAATATTCATTATAATCACAACATGCAAATAATCATATCCAACAATATAACACATAGCTTCAGTTTTTGAATAATATTTTATCACCTTAAAGATCTGACAACTCATTTTAGACCCTTCCCTAAATGGCAATTTATTGGTATATCTCATAAGATGGTGGTGCTGTAGGAGGACCCTACACTTGTCTCATCCCTCGAGCACAACTAGATAACTATCAAATCATTCTACTGGTATATTTCTGTGCCTGTGAACAAAACAAAATTTAGAAAATGTAAAAGAGACGATGATATGATCACCACACTAGGGAAGAAGCTAAGGAATGCCTGCTAAGGAAAGTTGATCTTTCTAAAATGTACGGTCATCATACAGGGACATGGTTACAAACTGAAAAAAGACCAAGGAATATACAATGAAAGGTGATATTCCTTCCAGCTGAAAACCTCAAGTTCTACTCCCGAGAAATAACTAGGCAATGGTTTCTTGCATGCTTTTGTGAAAGTTTCTATGAGAAACAAAAACTTGTACATAAGCAATTTCCCTTTTTTCTAAGATTTATTTATTTATTTTAGATAGAGAGTGAGAGGGAAGTTTTCTGTAGAAAGGAAGAGTGTGAGCAGGCAGAGAAGCAGGGGGAGGAGGGAGAAGGAGGGGAAAGAATCTGGAGCAGACTCTGTGCTGAGCATGGAACCCAACCTACGGGGCTCAGCAGGGCTCAACATGGGGCTCAATGTAAGACTCCATCTCACGACCCTGAGATCATGACCCTGAGATTATGATCTGAGCCAGAAACCAAGAGTTGGACGCTTAACTGGCTAAGCCACCCGGGTGCCCCAATTTCCCTTTTGTTTACAAATATACATGTGCAGGTGCTACACCCACATACACATCACCAACATGGATTTTTAAATACAAGAGATAATCACTCTTCAAAATCTTGCTTCTTTCACTTAAAAATATTTCTTGATGATTTTTCCATATCAGCACATGGAGTGCTACTGATTCTGAAAAGCACATATCAGCCCATTACATGAATGAGCATTTTATTTTTTTTTTTATTTACACTAAAACTGCAAAGACTACCCTTGTGTAAACATAAATAGCTTTGTGCACATGCGAGAGTACATCTATGGATAAATTCATAGAAGTGGAATTCTGGGTCAAAGAGCATATTATTTTAAATTTTAATAAATAGGGGCGGAGCAAGATGGCGGAGGAGTAGGAGACCTAGATTTCGTCTGGTCTCAGGAATTCAGCTGAATAGGGATCAAACCATTCTGAACACCTACGAACTCGACAGGAGATCAAAGAGGAGAGTAGCAACAACTCTCTGAACAGAGAAGCGACCACTTACTGGAAGGTAGGACGTGCGGAGAAGTGAATCCGAGGCGATATTCGGGAGGATAGACGGCGGGGGAGGGGCCTCCGTCGGCCGCTTCTGGCAAGTGCTAGAGCCGCGGAGCACAAAATCGGAACTTTTAGAAGTCGGCTCCGCGGAGGGACGTTGCTCCAGTGGCTAAGCAGGGGGTGGAATCCTCCCGGGACAGTGTGGTCTCAGGACCCTCGGGGTCACAGAAAGACTGGGGGTGCCTGAGTGCGCCACAGCTCCCAGGTATCGGAGCGGGGAAGCCGGCTGCAGAGACGGAGCCGAGGCGCAGGTCTCAGCTCGGGGTTACCATAAACTGTGATCTGCCGCCCAGTCGGGGCACGGCTCCTCCAGCAGGGACCCAACAAGTGGCAGATCCGGGGAGACTCCCCTTCCTTCCCAGGGAGGAGAGGCACGGGAACGCACCGCAGGGATCTGCTGGGTTTGGAGACTCCATACGGGGTCGGGCGCCAGAGATAGCAACGCTCGGTCACAGGCCGGGTGAGCACGGAGTGCGGCCGGCGACCGGGGAGACGGGAGTGACTGCTTTTCTCTGGGGGCGCACTGAGGAGCGGGGCCCCGAGTTCTCAGCTCCTCCGGGTGGAGATTGGGAGGCCACCATTTTTGCCCTGGTCTTCCAAGGCTGTACGGAGAGCTTGCAGGGAACAAAAGCTCCTGAGATCAAACCCGAGCAGCTTGCTTAGCCCGGACCAACAAGGGCGGGGCAATTCAGCCTCCGGCAAAGACATTTGGAAACCACAGCAACAGGCCCCTCCCCCAGAAGATCAGCACGAACAGCCAGCAAGCCAAGACCAAGTTTACCGATCAAGGAGAACGGGAGAACTCCAGCGCTAGGGGAATACTGCACATAGAATTCATGGCTTTTTTTTACCATGATTCATTAGTTCATCAAAGTTAATTGTTGTTAACTGTTTTTTTTTT